GTAAATAAAAAAAATTAGTATCGCTCTTTGTAATTGTATTATCTTTTTTGTTTAAGTAAAAAATCTTATCTATATCTTCGCTTTTTATAGATAGACTAGAAATATGATAAGGGTAGGTAGGAATACTATTTTGTATTTATTTAATTAAAAATTGCATTGTAAATAAAAACTATAATAATTAGAGTTGGCATGAATTTTAATCCGAATTATGAAACATTGCCTATCACCTAATTTATTGAATATCCTTGCAAAAGGATATATGTTTTATTACTAAATTTTAAAATATTAAACATTAAACTTAAATTAACTTTGTATCCTCTAATTTTTTCCTTATTAATTAACATGTAGAAATTTCAGTTTAACGTTTAATATCAAATATTAACCACCTCTTCAAAAATATTTTCGTATATATACATATACTGATTATTATTTTAAAATACTTACATCCTTTAACCGTTTACTATAATTAAGTATAACAATTATTAAACATAAATACACTTTTAAAATGTTACCTAAATTTGTAGCTGATCTTCAACATCTCGTTATGATGGTCGAACAACTCTATAAATCCAGCAAAGCCTGTAAAAAAAGAAACAATATTTTTATAAGTTATAAATAAAACCAAAGATAAAAAGGTAACTACGAATAACAAAATGGAAAACGCATTTACATTGATTTTGTAAAACAGACCACCTTAGGGACTTTAATAAAAATCGTTTTAAAACTTTATATAATACAATTTATAAATATATCGGATTTGAAATTGTGTTTTGTGATTTTACCTTTTATCTTTTACAGTTTTATAAAAGTAACTTGTCAAAACTGCGGCCCATTCATTTATAGAAAGGATCATCATCTATAATAATGTTCGACCTCTTGAACTAAATTAGTTGGATTGATAATAGGGTACGGGATAAACAAAATATTTGAAGGAATCTTCGAATGAAAAAATTAACAGTTAAATCAGGCATCCTGAATTTGTAACCAATCTTTTGAAAACGTATTTTTGATAAAGTTATTTAATTCATACATATTTGTTTCGCCCTGGTTCTTGCAATAATATTTATTTACAACTTGTGTTAAAATCAGCGGATTGTTCATAAATTTTGATACCCTGACTATACTACGGTTATCAGCTTTGAATATGGGACACTTTTGTTACAGTTTGACTTCACCATCATATGGAGCTGCTGCAGCGGAACCTCTTTCACCATCCATGACGGGACCCTGGACTTCTAATCGGGGGTGTCGGTCGGGAGTGTTCCGGAGCGTCCAGATTCGAATCTGGAGGTCTCCAATACACGGGATTTCGGAATTTCCGAGATCCTGGGTCTTGGAAACTTCTGAATACGAATCTCGAGGCTTCCAAAACAATGGATCTTCGAGATCCATTGTTTTGAAAGACCTCGCGATTTGTATTTCAGAATTTCCAAAAACTCAGGATCTCGGGACTTTCGAATTTCGTGGCTTGGAGACTCCTGGTTCGAATTTGGGCGCTCCAGTCGACCGGGTCTTGACCCGGACGGTCTTCGAATAACAAAAACGTTCGCACTAAACCTGGTAGACGTGAAAAATTTTTTTTGTCTTTTTAATTTAAAAAAAAAAAAGCGTGGAATAATTGTTACCTTCTAACATGTATATTTTAGGCAATGAAAATGATAACACTGAGTTATATTATTAATGCTTCATTCTCATTGAAGCGCAATTCTGTGTAAACTAATTATATTTTTTTTACCAACTAATTATTTCCACCTCTGTTTCTCCTACTTTATTTGCAAAGTACAATGTAAATGTACATTTTATTTCCTCTAGCACAAACTATTGTAAGTACTTACCTTTTACAAATCGTTCAATTAAATTACGCTACAATTAACTTAGAAAAAAATTCACGATAAGGCAAATAAATACATAAGTACCTGCTTTTAATCCCTTTTATATGCCTTTGATGATGATAAGATAAGAAACGTTGGAATGGAATTGATGGCTAATTAATAAAAATGTAACACTTACTTACTTACTAGTGTATCAGCATTACAATCGAATGGGTATTGGGATAACGTAATACGTGTTTTTGAATGTGCTAATAAATAAAGTTTCTGTGAATTTAATTGAATGTATATAGGTAGCTAAAATGTACGCAGTAAGTAAATTTGAACAGTGAAATTGTTTTTTAAATACTTTGGATAATAACTAGTCAACATTTAAAAATTTATATAGATTTTAAAAATCGTTGCTCTGCTTTTTGTCGGAATTATTAAATCAGAAGAATTGGAACCTTACCAATTAAGTGAATTTTTGGAAGGCTCTTTTAGAAATAGAGGCTTCAACGGAACGTGGGTTTCTGATGATATTTTAATGTATAGGCACAATTCGAGTTTGTACTTTTTTTATCCAGAAACTGAAACATCGGAACTGTTTTTTCGTAGAACAGACTTAGTGAGTTTCATGAAAAAATCAATTATTATTAAGTAACGTGGAATCTAAACGTAAAAATTATTACAGAGTGGCTTTGGTAGTTATTCACTGTCATTATCACCAGATAGAAGATACTTTTTGATACAGTACAACACTACGAGCGTAAGTACATTTTTATACACCTGATTTAAAACTGGGAATTATGAAAACAATACTTCAAATCAATGTCATCCGGCCTCTGATATTGAACTTTTGTAATACTGGCAAAAAATAAATGTAACTTGTAGTAACTAATTGCAAACATAAAATTAAAGTTTTCAAATGTATCAGTTTTATATTTAAAATTCGAAAATATTCAAAAAAGAATGAGACCTTTTCAGAAATCTCAGGCCAAGATTTTTCAAATGGAACTAACTATTTATTCCAACGTGGAGAAAAAGTTGACTATTGACCCATTTTATTAACAAATACTGTATTTAAAGTCTCATCTAAAGTAATCTAACTTCTCCAAGTGCCTAAAAACGCTAATAAAATGGACCAAAGGTCAACTTCTTCACTGCGAGCTAGGAGTGTTCCTATTCGAAAGGTCCTGACCTAACCCGACTAAATATTAGAAGCAGGTTAGCCCGAAATATGTGAGGATCTAATAAGACTGTCCAGTTTAAGGAATTCCTAATAAGCATTGAATAAAGATATCCAAAATAAGAATGTACTTGTCAGGTTCAAATCAGGATGTCCACAGTTTATCCTATCAAAGTAAAAAATTAATGAAATCAAGTTTTCCACGCTAGGATCTTATAATTTCATTTCATCCTTTACACAGGGTAAAGATGATTAAATTCTGATCAGGGTTGAGTGTGGATAAATTTGATTGGCCAGAATTTAAATATCATCAGATGACTATCCTAGAGAAAATAGACTTTCCTTCTTGTTAAATGTCAATTACAACAACGTCAGAAAAATTTTATCAATAAATATACGGTTATCTTATAACTGGCCTATTTTAATAATAAATTTGCAATCAAGTTTTGATAGGGTTCTTTGGATTTCCCTATTAGATCCTAATTTTTATTTCCTTATTAGGTCCTTCTTAAAAAAAGCGCAACAGTTCTACTCATATCCACATAGGGTGGTCCTTATCAGGACCGAATATGAATCGAGATTATACCTGTCAGGTCCACGATCATAATTTCTAGTCGGGAAGTTGTGTCCGTTTGGAAGATTATCGATTTTATTGCCCAATTTTAGATTGTTCATATTGTTCATGATAAATTAAACTGTTAAAGTTTAAATGGAAATGAAAATATAAAGACTTCAAAAGAGATCTTATTTGATAGTTTCTTATTATGTTACATTTCAGATTTTTAGACATTCTACCGTTGCACAGTTCAGTATAGTAGATGTAAATACTGGGTAAATATATTTAATCTTTACATTTGATAAATAAAATGATAAAATGATTTTCTTTTTACACAGTGAAATTTATAATATTGCCGATTCAGAGTTTCTGTCATATGCTACTTGGGACAAAAGTGGAAATGGTATCGCTTATGTGTTCGAAAATAACATTTATTATATTGATTCACCACCACAAGTTACCAATGCTAAACAGATTACAACAGACGGAATAGTGAATGTAATTTACAATGGAGTCCCCGACTGGGTTTACGAAGGTATTAATACTGAACAATAATTCGCGCTGATTTTATATTTTGAAATAAAAAAACTATATTTTTCCTCGAACTCTTGCAATTTATTCTTATACCGGCTCAATTAGATGCAAAAGAGTGAACAGATAATGTTTAACTCTTTAAACTGTAGTTTCTGTTCAGCTTTTTATCGCCAATGTTGTTACACTTCCAATTCATCATTTCAAAGATAATATTAAGTAATTAATTTTACTCATCGTATAAATGTGATACTATTGAGTATCCACGATTTATTAACTTGACGATCTTAGGGTACTGGAAAACATTGGCAGTGATATAGAGCACCAAAAAGCTCAAACTCCAATGCCAAAACACGATGCTCAACGTCCGAAGTATGAGGGGGCGTTTTTAAGTTCGCGGAATGGGGGTTAAAAAGTGGAAATAAAAGTACGAATTTATTTTTTCTTTTCAGTATATTTACCTGCTACCTTTATATACTTTCGAAAAAAAAATGTTTTGTCTTTGTCTCAAAAATATGCCGAAATTGCATCCTTCACTTCTTCATCGCTTGAAAATTTCTTTCCACGAAGACTTTTTTCAAGTTTGGGAATAGGTAATAATCGCTGAGAGCTAGGTCAGGACTATAGGGTGGGAGAGCCAAAATTTGGAAGCTCACCTTCTGCAGGGCAACCATCGCAACACGGCTCTTGTGAACAGGCGCATTGTCGTACAGAAGGAGGACACCTTAGGTCAATTTTCAATAATCCATCTTTATCTTCACTACAGAGGTTCAAAAACGCACGATAACACTCCACACGCTGTTGTTTTTTAGGCGGAGTGAGCAATCTCGGTATACATCTTACGCTGACTTTAGTCATGTCAAAATGATCGCGAAAAATTTTAAAAATTGTTGCATCTGATACTCCTACCATTTCTGCAAGCTGTTTCTTCTTAAGTAGGACATCTTCTAGTATTAATTTTTGCAGTTTTTGAACAAATTCCGGAGTGGTCAGCTTGATCAGCATAAGTCTTCTTCAAGTGAGTCCCTGCCTTGCTTAAAGAGGGTATGACACTTGTAAACCAAGGTTTTACCTGGGCAAGAGTACCCGTAAACGGATGACATCTCTTCCAGTATGGTTTGAACTAATTTTCCTTGCTTGGTAAGGAACTTTTTAACAGCGCGATACTCGATTTTCTCCATATTTCACAATTTGTTTCCGATTGACTTGTTTCGTCGACGATAGTTCAAAGACTAGTGACCTAATTACAAAAAAATTTGGTATTTAAACTAATAAAGAGTAGCTTAATTCGTAATGGCTCGAGTTACTACCCTCACTAATGACCTACCTACCCATTCTGCGAACTTAAAAACGCACCCTCGTACTTTTCTGTTATAAAGTTATATACTCTCTTCAGGGGCTGAAAAGAACTGAACTAGAACTGAGTTGTACCAGTCCCTGAAGAAGATAACTTTGTACCTACTTCGGACGTTCAACGTCGTGTTTTGACGATGGAGCTTTGAGCTTTTTACAGTTCAACTTGACGACCGTTTCTCCACTTTGTGGTCCCTTCAGGAGACACAAATGTTTTTGACTTCACTTCAAGAACTTTTGCGTCTTCTGAAGAAGCCAGAAAAGTAGCTGTTAGTTCCTAATAATAAAATATTCTTTATCCCTTCGTTGGGATCGACTTTTATAATAAAGAGATGTCAGTAGTTAAAGTTGGATATTTAACTGGACTAATTTTGAAATTTCGTAAATTTAAGAGGAAGTTCTGTCGTCTGGTTCAGCCATGTGGTTTTCTCCGAGTGGAGATAAATTGGTGTTTGCCTTCTTCAACGACACGGAAGTCGAAGAATTTTCTTATTATTTGTACGGAGCTCCTGGAAACGCGATAGACAACTATCCCGAAGAAGTACATTTACGGTACCCAAAAGTAAGTTTCAAAGTTCTAAATAGAGGTGTTCCTACTTCTTTCTTACTTAAATTGCTAGTATAAATTTTTGGAGCGTCGAGCGTTAAATTTTTATATTACCTAAAGAAATATGTAAATAGAAAAATAATACCTAGCATTTAAGTAGACAGTAGTTGAGCTTATTTACTAGAACATTATTTCTTATATATTAATTTGAAAATTCATTCTCAATTTTTTCTCCACTATAATTAATAAAAAAAAGTTTGTTGTTGTTGTCACACTCTCGCCGAGAATCGAACCCGGGGACCTTTGGCTTTACGCACCAATGCTCCGGGGTTCGATCAAAATGTTTAGTTGAATTTCGTTACTAAAACATTTATTAACATACTATTTACCGTTTACTATTTTTCCTTAGGTTGGAAGCAAAAATCCCGATGTTCTCTTGAAGTATATCGATTTAAGCAACAACAGTAGCGAGGTTGTTGCCTTAAATATAATTCCATTCGATATTGTCTCTAATGAGTATGTTATTTACACAGTTGGTTGGGCAACTAATGAGGATGTCGTAGCTATTATAAAAAATAGAGTGCAGAATAGAGCAGCTGTTTGTAGATGCAGAGTGGCAGAAAACAATTGCTATGTTGTAAGCAATTTATTTTCAAGATTTCTTTTTTTAATGTATATAAATATAAGTTCAATACCATTCACCAACATACTTAAAAACAAAACAAAACTACAAAGCCCACAAGCTTGAAATTTGACAATTAAGTTTCTTTTAACATTTACAATCATCATCATCATATAGTCGTCAGTCCTTCCCGTAGGAAAAATTTCCATTGAACTTCAATGGGAATCAATGGAAAATTTGTAAATTCCATTCAAAACCATTTGGCATAAAAGGAAAAATAATTATTTCCATTTACAATAATTCCATTAGCATTTACATGGGAAAAATTTCCATTGATTTTCAATGGAAACCAATGCAAAATTTATAAATTCTATTTAAAATCATTAATGGAAAAACAATTGGGTACCTAAAAATGCAGAAGATCTGGTTTGAAATGATTAAAATTTATTAAAAAAATGGAGAGAAACGTGCTAATTGTCACAGCAAGTCAAGCAATAAATGTCATGTAATTAATATTTTCCTCATATTTTACCTTGATTAAAAAGAATTTCATTTAATTACCCCTAGCAATAATTAAAAGTAAAAAATAAAGAATTGACACTAGGATTTCCATTGGGTTCAGGAATGGAAGTTCCTATGAAACGCAAGGGAAATCCCATTGCGTTCGGCAATGGAAGTCCCATTGGGTTCGAGAATTCTAGTGGAAATTCCATTCATCCCATTGGCAATTCTCCATCTATTACCATTAATTATTATCAGTGGTAATTAAATGGCATTTTTTAATGGAAATAGAATGGAAATTTTTCTTACGGGTTAGACTGGTTGAACACGTATCTCCACTGTTTCCTTTTCTGAGCTAATCTTCGCATTTCCCTAAAACTAGAACAACCAACATCCTTAACTATTTGCGAACAGTAATCTAATCTAGATCTACCTCTACCCCTCCTAACTCCCGTTTCTGCCTCTAATATGTGTCTGACTAGACCTTCAAGCCTGAGAAGGTGTCCTAAGAATCTCTCTCGCCTATTTCTTATTGACTTCCACCTACAATCTAGCTACGAAATAATTTTTTGAAACAATCCCTACAAGTGTGTAATATTGTATCAAAATTTTGAAATAATTAAAGTTTAGACCAGTTGTTTTGGGACCACTTATTGTTTATTTACTAATGCAATTACGCCATTGTTTTTGACTGATGATATTTATGCGTTACCTATATAGGAGAGCATAATTGAAGAAAACAGAGGTTGGCTTGACCTTCAAGCTCCTGTTTACAATTCTGATGGGACACTAAGGTTGATGATTTTGGCTCAACCTGAAGGCGAAGACACTTATCAACACATGGTTCTTACCAACACCTCGAATAATTCATCCGTACGATTAACACACGGGCGAAAGATAGTTTCATCTTTATACGGATGGGATGAAGAGCGAAATTTGGTGTAAGTACAAGTCAATTTTATAAGACGGACATTATTAATTAATAGCTTTTAAGATAATTAAATTTTAACTACATGTAAATTAGGTACTTACTTATAGAAAAAAAAATGAGCGATTCGCGTAACAGATTAATAATTGTATTTGAAAAAAAAAACATGAAATATCTTGATTGTTTCTCATTACTTCGGAAAAAAATTTGCCAAAAATTGTGTTTTGGATAAGATTTCTATTGGTGACCCTCAATATGACGTTGATCATAATCTTCGAGATCATTTAAAGCTTAAGTAATTTTGTTTAATGGGAATGTATAGTTTTAATGTCTACAATTAAGAAATTTGATAATCAGAAAAAACCATTGCTAGATATTAATTCTTCATATTTCGAAACAATTCATCCCTATAAAACAATCTGAAAACTGTCAATTAATTCATGCTGTTTTGATAGGTATTACTTAGGAACTACTGAAGAAAATTCAGCACAGCGACATGTTTTTTCTGTTAACGTAGTCACTTCCGAAATCATTTGCATCAGTTGCGGATTTGAAACTCCTGATGGTAATTGTACGTATGCTGCAGCCTCGTTCAGTAAAAATTTTTCGTATTTTGCGAAAGTGTGCCAGTCTTCACCCAATTACGCTGTCATTCAAAGCACCACCACTGTAAGTATTTGCCTTATATACAAGATGTGTTCTAAAGTAAACGGGGCTCTTTTAAAGTAGCATATTCCAGTGGAACACCTCCTCATGATCCATGAGATCATTAGAAGTAGTTATTGAGGGGTAGGTGACATAATACCTGTTGTATCGGTTCAAAAATTAATATAAGACAAAGCAACATTAAGTTCTGTGTTAAACTTCGTAAAAAATTTTACTGATACGGTTCAAATGAAGAAACAAGGTGATAAGTATTTATCCCCTAGAAGAGTCGAGTCAGGGGATGGTCGAATATGTTGGCCAATAAAAGTTTGTGATTACCGAAGATGCTATCAAGAGTAGACGCAAATTCATCAGAGATCAGCTAAAATCTTCATTAAAATGAATAGAAACGGTATTGAATATCTCCAAAACACCAATTTGTGGCATTTTAGCCAACCATTTGAAGCTCTGCTCAAGATCTAACTGACTGACGACCAAAAATTCAACATCAACAAGGAGACAACAAAGATTTGAAACCTCTTGTACAGCAATATCAATGCCGATGAAACGTGGTGTTTTCAATACCATCCAGAAACCATGCGTCAAAGTCCAGAAAACAGAAGAGGATTCGAGGAAAGCCATTTGGACAAGTAAAAAGTGAAGACAATGTTGATTTGTTTCTACGATTCGAAGGGAATAATTCATAAGGGGTTCCTTCTACCTGGCCAGATGGTTAATGCTGTGTTTTATCCCGACATTTTGAAGCGCTTAGTGCGGCATGTTCGTTGTATTTGGGAAGAATGTTGGGAAGAAGTTGACGCTTGTTGCATGATAATTTGCCATCTTATCGATCGACACTTGTGACTGATTTTTTTGACCCACTCGCCTTGTTCATCTGACAGTTCCGTACGTTGCGCCGGAGACTTTTTTGAATATAATAAATGAAATTTGCCAAAACAATGTCTTTGTTCTAATCTTCAAAAGGTCAGGATTACTTTGGAGCACATGTTGTATGTTATGCGTAATATACGTTTTAATGAATACGAAAGGAATTAACTTTAACGTTAAAAAAGAAATTCAACGTCTAGCAATAAGTTTCATAGAAACCATGTGGGTAAAAATATTAGGAACCTTGGACACTTTTCAGGATGAAATTTTCAGAAAAAAATCACATAAAACAACTGCACGATTTGAATGGACAAATGACAACTTACAATTCTAAAATGGAAAAGTCTGTTTTTGACTATCACAATAAAATTTTACTTTCAGATAAACCAAGAAGCTGTATGGGTATAGGAGTATCTATATCTATATATCAAAATTTTCTTAGGAAAATTTTATCCTTAAAAGTTATTCAGGGGTCCTGTTTCTTCCTCGCTATCTATGTATTGGTTTAATGAAAATGCCATAATTTTATCATTTTTGACGTGACAACGTCTTATAATTCGATGGAGCCGGCTGCACGCACGAAAAAACATGACATGCGGCGTTACATCGCTCTGAGGCGTTCCATTTAAGGCTTGAAGTGCAAGCGAGAGCGCGGAACGAGCGACAAAGAGGCACAATCGGCCTCCGCGTTCGGCAGCGTTCGACATCTGTCTCTCTCCTACTTGAGTGAGCGATGCGTCCGCGTGGACAGCTGCTATACAATAATACATTTCCATTTACCTCCTTCTCTATATCCATACAAAATATCTATCAAACAAATAAAATTAAAATTTTCTTTTGAAAAATGAAACCACTCCATCAGTATTTTCTTATGACGTTGTCACGTTCAACTATCGTCAGTAAACCGACTTTACAGACAACCGATTTTTTTTAATGAAACTCAATTCTTTACTTATTTAGTAAATGAATATTTTATTGATATAATGGCAGATATTCATGATAACAGAAATCAAATAAAAGATAAAAATTAATCTTTTCTTCAGCCTTCAAATGCGTATCTCTGGTTAGATAATACCGCCATAAGGGAACAATTGCAAAGGAAATTGCAACCTACTGCAAGACATTTGAATGTTACCCTAGAAAGCGGTTTTGTAGCAAAAGTGAAGCTTCTTTTACCACCAGGATTTGACGAAACTAACACTTCAATTAAATATCCAATGATTGTTAATGTGTAAGTAAAACGGGTAAACACATCAACAGTATTAGTGTCAAAACTCATTTTCAATTTTTCATCCACTATAAATTACCTTAATTGGTGCGTAAAGCCAAAGGTCCCGGGTTCGATTCTCGGCGAGGGTGTGACAACAGGAACAAATTTTCTCTCATTAACTTGAGGTAGTTTATAGTGGGTAAACAACTGAAAATGAATTTTGACATTAATATTTCATATTAATTATATATCAACCGCAGTTTTAGTAGATTAAAAGTAAAAAATTAAAGTCAGGAGTGTTAGCAAGCCTGTTGAGCTTTACCGATACATCATCATCATAAGGTCCTCAGTGGACACGTACCTCCACTCTTTCCTATCCTGAGCTAAACTTCGCATTTCCCTAAAACTAGAACAGCCCACATCCTTAAATATTAGGTCTACCTCTACCCCTCCTAACTCCTGTTTCTGCCTCTAATATGTCTCTGATTAGACCTTCATGCCTGAGAAGGTGTCCTACCAACCTATCTCGCCTATTTTTTATTGACTTCCATAGAGTCCTCTGTTCTCCTATTCTTTCCAATACCTCTTCATTTCTAACCTTTTCTACCCA